AATCTCGGCTCACTGCAACCTCCGCCTCCCGGGTTCAAGCAATTCTCCTGCCTCAGCCTCCTGAGTAGCTGGGACTACAGGCACATGCCACCATGCCCAGCTAATTTTTGTATTTTTTTAGTAGAGACAGGGTTTCACTGTGTTGGCCAGTATGGTCTCAATCTCTTGACCTCGTGATCTGCCCGCCTTGGCCTCCCAAAGTGCTGGGATTACAGGCGTGAGCCACAGCGCCTGGCCTCAGAGTTTTATTTTAAATCTCTCAGGAGGTAAGCTTCCAGAGCTGTTGTCCTGAGTGTCTCTAAGAGGCAAAGTCTTCAATTTTGTGTTGTGACTTTGCCAATCTTTGACTGTGGGACGGGGTTTGGAACCATGAGGGAATTAGTCAGGACAAGACTAGAAGTGTGTAGAGAATTTTTAATATCTAAATATATATTAACTCAGGTTTTTATTGTTGTTGCTTAAATGAACTAAAAGACATTGGAAGTTATTTATTATATCATATATATATATATATATATATATATATATATATATATATATATTTCACAGGTCTTCCTGAATAGCAACTGATCTTTTGTAAAGAGTCAATTCATCATAAAAGAAACATCTCACAAATTTTTCCAACAGCTGTATTCTCAATGGATGTATACTCTGTGAGGTCTACCATCTGTTCCAATTATTCCTTCTTTGTTTTTGGTTTAAAAGCATGACAGGCTTATAACCACTAAGAAAAATTCCTGGAGTATATTTCTTTTTATCTAGGAAGTGGGGAAGGCTTTTCAACTTTGGAATTTGGGTGAGGTTGGCCAAAAGGAGACTGAATGGGTACCTTTGGATCTCTCTGTATTACATATATATAAAATATATATTTAATGTTAGTGGTACTCATCACTAGGTCAGCTTCATTCACATGAAAGCAGGCAGCGATTTTCAAAGTGCTGCATTCATTTAGAAATGTGGTAGGAAGAAGTGCATTGTTCCTTCCTGTCCCCAGCCCTGCGTAACTCACTGTACTATCAGAAATTTTAGCTTTCAAGTTATATTCCATGTGGTAAAAGAGATGCCAATTAAACGTCTCATGTTAAAGTGCAAACGTTCTCAGGAGGGGTGATACACATTATTATTTTAAATCATTATTACCAGACACAAATTTTGGTGCCAAAAAGGAGTGTTGAAATATGTTGGGGTAGGGTTATGAGGTGGGAGATAGAATGACAAAAGTCCAATTTTTGACTTTATAGTTTAGTCTAGAGTTAGTTCTACTAAGGAACTACAGTTACTCCTCTATGAGGGTCTTGATTCTGCAAAAATTCAGGCAAAAGTACCTGCTCTTGCTGTTCTTGTCTGATTTATGACCCATTAAAATCAGCAGTGATGAGGTATAAAAAATAGCATCTAACTTCCCTCACCTTTATTATCAAAAATGAGGTGGCAAAGCTTGGTTAGGAAAATAGCACATTGTTTTTAAAGTCAAAAAGAGGCATAATATCCTGTAAGCCAGTGCAAAATGATCCCTTGAGCCTCCTACAAAACATGTTGACTAAGTTATAGGAGAGCTTACCACTTAGGGGAAAATATACACCTCACTAGCAATATTAGTATTTTCATGAGGAAATGTTATTGGAAATAAAGAAGCAAGAAGGTAGTTGTAAATCTTCTAGCCCAATCATTCTGCAGAAAATTTATTTAGAGGACATGATAATAATACTAAAGTTAACCATAGCACGTATTTCTAATACCAGGTAGATAGCAGAAAGTCCAATTAGCTGTGTATTCATGGTAAATGTGGAAGACAGTTGAACTTTATCTGATTACTTATATTCATATTAATTGAAAGTTGATTATATGAAGTACAGCTTTTTCTTTTTTAATGAATTTGTTGCTAAATAAAAACATTAGGAGAGTTCACTTAAAATCTGGATTTTTTTTTCTTGGAAAATGGAATATTCCACAATCTTTTTCTCAAACTCTTACATGTCTACAACTATCTGACCTGAAAGGCAGCTGTCTCCTTTAGGTAAGTCATGTGATCTGTAATTTTCCATAGTTGCTACCATTCCTTATTACCTCCTGGCACAAGCATGCTTTGCTCACTTATGATATGTGCTTGGCCTCTGTAAACATTTCTGTTTGTGATCCCTGCCTGATGTGGAGAGTCAAATTGGATCATTCCTTTCGAATGACAAAGATACTAGCAGAAACAAGCAAATAAAATCTACCTTAGGCCCTTAATGATCTGGCTTGATTGTGAGCTGTGACTTCTGGACCAGTCCAGTAGTCTAGACAGTCCCTGATTCCTCTCCTTTGGAATGCTTATTAACAAATTACCAATGGCTCACTTGAGAAAAGCAGGTTCCCACTATACCAGAACCTTATATGATAACAGTTTTCTATAGAGAGGGAAACAGTAGGGAGTTTTCTATGGAGAGGAAATCACTAATTACCCATTGAATTCTATTCATGTCTCTTATAGACATACAATTCATTGCTATATGGGTCCATATACCTAGGCAGTAATATTCCTAGGAGAGCAGTGACATGGAACTAAGGAATTTGGAGGTTTTACATAGTTGTCATTGATTGCATTGCCTCAGCAGATTATACTTATAATTTTATCTTTATCCTTTTGCTTTTGACTGATATAGCCCTGCTTTTTCATCTATCGTTATGAAACCCTAGTCCTCTAACTTTTGCTATCCATATGCAGAATCAACTTTCTTCTAATTTAAGGCAGATACATTACATAGGCATATATGGGTATTGAAGGAAACAATGTGAAGAGGATTAGTTAGAAACATATTCTGTTTAAGATATTTGGGGGTGAAATAATAAAATCTGTATACTCTTAAACGTACATTAGTAAAACTTGAAAGAAACATTGGCTAAAGTATATTAAGTTAAATATCAGGGAATCTGTAATTCAGACTATGTCTCTGATCAATATGGATATTTCCACTGTTCACTAAAGGCATTGTAGACCTTCTCAGAATTTGGAATAAAGAACCCTGAGCCCATTTCCTTCCACACCGGTAACTGACATTCTCCGTCTCAGTCTTGGTTCACATCTGCCCCTCTTACCAATAGGCGTTCCCACTCCGTAACCTTTGGAGTCAATGAGGCCCCCGATCTGAGTGAGGTTGCAGTTTCTCTGCGTCACATACTCAATGCTGGTGGACTCCATCAGCAGCGCGTAGTCTGTGGTAAGCACTCTCTGGATGCCCTCGTCACTGTTTCTTACCAGGGCAGTCTGCTGCCTGCTGCTCATGAAAGCCCACATCTTCTCATAGGTAGAGATTTTTGATTTCTGCAGGGAAAGAAAGCACACTCACCAGCAGAAGAGGGCTGGAAAAATATGACCAAAAGGTATTCAAAGTCTCAGTGGTTCAGATAATGATGGGGAGGACACTTCCTCTGCAGGTGGGGGAGTCAAAGTTGATGATCACAAGGCTTCAGTTTTGTAGCTGAGAAGAGCCCAGTTTACTCACTATTGGACAGCATTTGGAGGCACTGAGGCAGCTATTGCATGGAGACCTTGACCGATTGATGCAAGACATTGGTGCAAGGTCCTTTTGTTGCTTTCAGTTGGGGAAGAAAGAACGTTGGTATCAATAATAGCACCTGCCTAATGAACTGTGACCACTTAAGAACAAGCCATCATGGCCCACAGGGCTAAGGGGTGACTAGCTCACTCCAGGACTCTGTTCATTGAATCCATTTTCCTTTCAATCACTCAACTCCAGCAGGTGCCGTTTTGCTGTTTCCCGGTATGTAAGTTTCAATCCCTGATCCAGCATTCCTAGCCCTGGGGTAAATCACTGGCTTCCTCTGCTTTATTTGTGAGAAAACTGTCATTCACTCTTCTCTTTTGTAGAAAAACTAGAATGTAAATGCTCTTTTCAAATTAAAATTTAGATAACAAAAATCTTCATACTGTATTTATATGCCTTTTTAGAGATATAATTTTAATTGCAATCATATTTTAGATGAGGACTACATATATTATTTCAAAGTGTTCTATTAATATGTTTGTCTTTTCTCATGTTCTTCAGCTTTTTGATAGATTCAGTAATAAATTATATATGTTATGTAATATATGCACATATACATATGTACCACTGCCTCATTATCTTACTTTCTTTGCTAAAGTATACTGCCTACATTTTCATATTGCTTAAATATGAATTTTCCATTCATTTGAATAGTGATCTATGATTAGATATTTTGCATTTTCCTCTGCAATTTCCATACAATTCCATTTTTTTTTCTGAATTTGTCTTCATTTGCATCAGTATTCTCCTCCATTTATTTCAGAGATGAAAGACATTATTGGTATTTTTAAGCTGATCCCCGTTACCACAGTTATACGCAGGGCTCACACACATTACACAGATCCCTTGGCAGGGACAGGATGCATCATCTCAGGAGTGCGGGAAAGCTTAAAACATGTTTTTGGGCCATAAGCAAGAAATAGAATACCTGTGGAGTCAACTCTATCGTGGTTATTCATGCTCAAGTGTTCCTGGGGGCCACTCAATTCTAACCTCTATTTAGGACCTCGGTTAATACCATAGGGTTTATGAGTTAGGGGAGGACAGATGGCTTTATTTCAGATTGTTAGGCATCTGAAAAGCCCCCTGAGAAAGGTCTTGTGAGACAAATGACAATTCAATAAACAGTACCTTATAGATATTTGGAATTTTATTGGGCCCATTCTGTCATATTGGGCCCCTGTGAGTTATGCCACAGCCCCAGAGATATCTGCAAATTGTAGCTCATGTGCCCATGACAAAGGCGTATTTTGGGGGTCAGGGTTACTGCTTCATTTGTTGTGTGATTTCAGCCTTGCAAAGTCTGATAATGCTAAACTTCTAATAAAAGAGCTACTCATACAAGTGCAGAAAGGTCAGTCTATCCTTTGGCAGTAAATGCACAGCTGGGAAAATTATTCTTCCATCAGGAAACTACCTTAAGGGAAAATAATTTTCTTTGAAGTGTAAAATTTTAAGGTTGTCAGAGACTTTAGAGATCAGCTCATACAAACTGCTGCTTTCACAGAGGAGGAAGTTTTGGTTCAGAAAGCTTGGAGACTTCAAAAAGCCACAAAGCAAGTTAATATCAGAGCTAATTCTGGACTCCAGGACTCCCAATATCTAATTCAATGTTCTTTCCACTGTACCATGCTTATTTGGTTCAGGTGGATGTCTATATTGCCAAAATTCTTTTGAGAATGATTTTAATCTTATTTTATCTACATTTGAAAATACAGCTATTATTCAGGGACTCATATTATTCCTTGGGGTAGGTTGCTAGTTAGTTTTATATTAACACAAAATAGGAATCAGCCTTCACATAGAAAAATTTCATAAATAACATTTTTTTCATCGTATTTAGATTTTATTAAAATGAGTGTTGTAAATCGTTAGAAAACTGAATTTGAGGTTTATGGAAGTCAAAAACAAAGCCAACGTTCAGTTCATCCATGGTAAATGGAGAAAGTGTGGAGAGTTCTTTAATTCATCGGGGGAATTGAAGAGTATGGGAAAGAATGACATGATTCAACTCTAAACCTAAGTTATCTGAAGTGAAGAACTTTATTATTTTCAATCCATGGCAGACCTAGGTGTGGTCCTTCTGCAAGGGACGAATATGTAGGTCATACCACACGTGACTTGCCCTGTGAGTGTTCAACAGCATGTAAGGGGTCTGATCTCAGGTCATGAGTTTAGTCAACATGAGTTGCACTAAATAGCTGCAACATTTCTAAACACTTAACTTTTCAGTATTCTTTTCCTGTCACAGCTTAGTAACAAAATGTTTCCTAAGCCAGCATGCTCTTCACGCTACACTGTGAGTAGCACTGCTCTGCGGAACAGAGATCATGTATTTAAATCCAACAACAGCCACATCTTCCTTCTTGGAGCAGAAGGTTGTTGTAGGCCTGACCTCTCCCAGAGAGCTACAGGGAAATCTAGTTGGCATGGACGCCTTTGAGCAGGGAGGGCAGAATCTTCTCTCTGACAGAAAACTGTTCCTTGGTAGGAGACTTGGTAAGTTGAAGGCACAGGAACCATTATAAATTCCTGTAAGCCCTTGCTATTCTCACTCCAGCACAGTCATGGTAAACATAATGGGAGCAGGAAGAACAGCCTTTTGCTGTTATTTAAAGCTCTCTTGCATCATTTAGAAAGTTTGCTGTTGTGAGGCTCTATTGTATTTCACAGTTAGAATTCTAGGCTACTTGAGATGCTATGGAGCTTAGAGTTTGCAGGAAGATCCAAAATGTGCCTAAGGAATAACTTTTTTTGATAGGTAGAAGTATCTGTAGACAGCTCAAGCACCTTAAGGGATAGTGAGTTTTCTTTTTCCTTTCCTTTTCTTTTTTTTTTTTTTTTG